TTAAAACACTAATTTGAGTAACGTTATTTCGCAATTTTGATCTTTTGTAAACCTGGGGTGATGTATCAAGGTCTAAAGTAACCGTTTTATCAATTTTTGAAAAATCAAGAATAAAGTGAAAATTTCCTTTCTCGCTACCTTAATGTCATTTTAGTACTGTTGAGAATTAGATAGAATGAATTATTTAGAATATTCACTACTTAAAGGCTAGGTTATTTTGGTGTGTATATAAACACACTTGAGATACAATCAATAGGAAAAAACAGAAATTTTAAACCAAGTTATAGGAGTCGGTAACTATGCTATGTTGGTGTATAGTAACCATGACACATACAATGACATTGACCTCCCAATGTGGCATCTTACAACAAAAGAGTGATTGCACATATGGACTATGCATTGCATAATGAGACATGGGAGGTCAACATTTCATTAGTCTGTCAAAACAAGAAGTTGAGATAGACAGCATGGGAATCCAGTACAAAGGTCAATCTCACTGTAAACATGCCTTCATTTACTAAAATAACACTTATTTGAGAAGTAGAGTACCTACAAATAATATAGTCCAATCCTTTTAAAACTGTGTTCAATGACCATAAAAACTCAGTTATCTTAGTTTTTATCTAAATTTTTGTTCACGGTGCTGTAAATTGTTTTGTTTTTTTGCATTTCTCTATTTTTGTTGTTGTCAAAATTTGTTTTGAGCAGATCTCCCCTGAGTTTCTATTAATAAAAAGGCAACTTCTTGTGAAAAGAAATCATTAATATAATATCTCTAACCTGCCGTGATTGGTTCAGTAACAAATTGAATAGATTATAGGTAAGTTTTTACATCCATGAATAAATTAATTAAACTATCCCATCTAAAAATACATATGGTACCAGAGGTACATTACTTGGGGTTTGCAATGCGCATAGTACTGTATGGTGACATCATGTCAAGATCCCATTCAAGTGAATCAAGTCTCATCTCGTAGATAGCGAGACTGGTGCTACGACCTTCTGACATGACATAGGCGGTTTGTAATAAAACAATAAAACATGTATTACCACATTCATAGTGCAAAAATGTAATACATCGAAAATGTACAGAAAATATAGTTATCGTAATCCGTCATATCGTGAGCAGCTATTTTGATCCACCTGGACATCCAAGTATCCTACTTACCTCGGGCATGCGCATTGGAATTTTTCTGAGTTGGAACACTTATATGAGAGCGAGATTGAAACGGGATCTTGGTATCATGTCACCGTAGTTGCAAACCCCAAGTAATGTACCTCTGACGGTACACATAAAGCTACACGACAAGACTTACTTAGTATTTCAAGTAGATTAACCAAAGTAGTACCATCTCCAATCCGTTTTCGTAAATCATCAATTAGACGGAACTTTTTCTTCTTCAAATGATTGTTAGCCCATGTTGTATGTTCCTGTATTAGTGAGAGCAGAACTAAAATATTACAGAAAACATTTGTGAAAAAAGATTATGCAATATTTAGGGACGACGTCAAAAGATCGATGTCGGATAAAAAACTTATTTCCTTTAGTTTGGGGGTGGGGGGTTTTGACCTCAACAAGTTTCCATCCTACAAAAACGATTTTATTTTTTAATGAAGTCAAAACAATCTTGGAGTATTTGTAGTTCGTTTTTTTCTATCCAATCATGGACAGAAATAACCAAAAAAGGAAAAAAAACAGAAAAATGGTTTGGTTCGAGTGTAAATCTGTGCGTCAAATGAGGTGTATTTGTAAAATCTGTTTACACCCACTCGACAATCAACTGCTATGCAATACTACTGTCCGATTATCAATTTGTATTTAATGGTGAATGTAGTCTGACGCCATGACCAATATTTATCAATTAAGTTTCAGTGGGGGTAGGGGGGTTTGGAAAAAAACTAAAGGAATTAAGTTTTTATCCGATATCAATCTTTTGACGTTGTCCCTTACTGATAGCCGAAGGATGAATTTAATGAGATAGATACATTGCTTTTGGATTGTACTACCTCACACAAAATCAACACCAAAGTTGATTTAAATGACTGACAAATGGAGGTGTACTCATATTTATACCAAATGTAACTGTATTTGTGCAGGGGGGGAACAGGTTTATCACATGTACATATTCCTAAGTATTCATTTTATACTTGAGGCTTAAGAGCTCATCAAGTACCTAACTATTTACTTTATATACTCAACACTGAATAGCCAAACAGATTTAGTGTGACTGGTCTGATTCCTATGACAGGTAACAAGACAAAATCAATTTATGAGAAGTTAGTACCCTTCACACCCATTTATTCAATTAAAACAACCCATTCACTTGTCATGACAGAAATTCCTGGTATTATGTGCACTTGAAGGTGAATTGACAATTTCAATAAACAACGTTCCAAACATATTTGAAATTGCGTCTATACTTGGACCGTTGTTAGGTTTACCACCTGTTAACATTGTTAAATTAATACCAGTATACTGATACAGACAGATATACGAAAACTCGCTCTGCATTGTACAAGTAGTAGTGAGTGGGACGTGACAAAAACTGTCAATGTGGTTACTTATGTAACAGTGGGACGTTAGTTGACAGTATATACACAGTGAGTGGGATAGTTGACAGTGCAAATACACTGTAAACTGCCTCTCATTAAATTGTTTCCCACGAAGTTAAACAATAAGCTTGGTAAATGACAGCACAAGATGTATTGATCAACAAAAATGTGTAAGTACCTCGCATTCTCGTAACGCCCATTCCCCTCGACCGTATAACGCTCGGGGACTGATCATTCCGTTTTCTCGTCTTTCCCATTCTTTTTGTGATCCTTTCGTCCATGATCGTAGTGGTTTTCGTGGCTGTCTTTCGTTCGTAGTGTCCATAGTACTAGCTATTGTTTGCGGGGGTTCGTGTAAAACAGAAGGTTGTAAATCTAACGAATGACTATAGTATCACAAAGCCATTCAACTGTACAGTACAATATATGGAACATGCACATTGAAAATAAAATTATGTGCTGATCTACAAATCATAAAACAAATGTCAGATGTGGTCAGATCCGCTGCGAACCCACATCTTATTGAAAATGACTTCCCTGAGATATATGCATCGGGAATTACCGGATATAGTATTCCATGTCATGGTGGGAAAGCCGTCTGTAATCCTGTGACACACACGTCTTCGACACAGAACACATACTGAAATAAACATACACAATCGTCTGTTTACAAACGTGTGCCTAATCCATTGAAAGATTCACGTTCCAAATACGAAGCAAAAGGCTATACACAGTAGATAGGCACAAACGTCGTATAACGATCTCCGATCCATGCACTGCAAACAATCAAGTGAACGATAGCCGGGCGGTCAAGCGATCTCTATTTGTGTCTGCATCGCTGCTTATCTACTTCTGTGAAGATTATCCAACTACAGCACAATAAAATACGAACACAGCATAATCTCTAGTTAGCAGTGTAGTACCATTTGTGTGAGACCTCGCGTAAACATCTGTTCTGGTTCATCTAAAGCATTCCGTAAAAACAGAAGTGTTGATTTCAAACAACGTACAGCACTGGCAAATTAGCAGAGAACACTTTCACTTGATTGGCTGACGGTATATCACGTGACGATAATGCGGAAAGGCGCCTGCATTGCAACGCTTTGAACTTTTCCGAATACAAAAAACACAAGACTGAAATAATCCTAACGCAGTAAAAATAAAATAGACATTTGTACTCCAACCTCAGACTTGTATTACTAGTCTGAGCTCCAACGTACAATTATTCATGCAAGACCTCTTGTATTCTTCAGTACTAATCTGGACATTTATATTAGATTGCAATTTACAAGATTTTATTCACTGATTAATCCCGGCTTTTAGGCCTGGTTGTGGCTCTCGTAATCACAGAAACCGCGATTGAGTGCGTTATAATGCCCGAGAACCTCCAAGTAATTGGCTCAGCCTTTCAGAAGCACAATTCAAAGAATAAAACACGGATGGAAAATAAGAAAAAATATAAACAACTCAAGACCACGTAAAACAACACTGACAATAACCCTAAGAAGGCGATGACCAGAAATATGAATAGTTTTGTTCTTGCCCGGTTTATATTACCCGCAATATTCTTCACAAATTCTATATTACTATAACCAAGGGCGGGTTTAGGGGGAGGCGCACCAGGCGCCTCCTTCAGCCCGCAAAAAAAATGACAAATCAATTGACAAACTCAGCTCACGTCTCGCCCGAATTTCTGGATCCGCCAGTGATACCCCCTCCCATTATATGGTATAGTATAGTATAGTATATTTTATTTGACACTAAATAATATATTTTGTTACATTATCTGTGGTCAAAAGACATTAAATATAATTAAACACAAGTACACACACGAAACAAAAGAAAATACATAAATAACTAAAGTCTAAGTAAAATTACTTATAGTAAAATAATATGCTGTCAATAAATTTGCTAGCACTATTGGCAATGAACCCATCTCTCGAACTTAAAATTTCTGTCAACATTTGTTGTTTTGGTAGTTTAAGGATACTTTCATTATAAATGCTAACTACATTCAGAAATTCAGTACGAGCATTTGTTATTACACTATGGTTACTGTCTAAAAGTGCATGGATTTCATTGTCAATAGCCCCATTGTTGGCACTTTCTTTCCTCTGGAGGTATCCCTTGATATCTAAGTTTTTCAATTGGTAGGGTATGTGCAGATATCCTAAATTTGGTAAAGCTGGTTCTATGTTGTGCATTTTTTACTTGATTCAAATATGGTTCAAATTTATATGTAGGTTTGAACAGTGGCGGATCCAGCAAAGTGTATTGGGGGGGGGGGCAAGCTTCGCTTAAGATATACGGAGCGAAAATCGCAGAGAAACTATGCGTAATCCAGATAATATGAATCGTTATGCGTTTGGGGGGCATGGCCCCCCTGCGCCCCCTCTGGGTCCGCCACTGGGTTTGAACTAAGTGTATGTACGTAATTTATTGTTTTGGGTTGTCTGGACTGTTGGTAGCCAAACTTTTTCAACATAGATTTCTTTTAATTTTGACTTAAGCAGAGTAGTAGTTTAAGTTGGACTATAGG